GCTCAGAAAAGAAGGATGCAGGGAGGCAGCTTTGGATATGGAAGTCATTGGCAGATGAATTGCTCCAAATTAGAGGATCCTAGGGCAATCGAGGTTAAGCGGTTGGATATTTCAATGGCTGCCTTTCATTCAATTTTGTGGGGGGGTTTTTTTTTTTTTTTTTTTTTTTTTTTGGAGGGGGTTCTTTTGTATTCAGAACCTCCTTTAGTTCCTGTGTTTATTGCTTTGGGTTGGTGTCAGGTTTTGAGACACTTTTTAAGATAATTTAGAATTCATTGATGGGTGCATTTGACCTGAAGTTGACCATATTTCAGCATGCATCTGACTTGCCTCAAGTGGGTTCTGCATTCCTATAAACTTGTATGGGGATGCAAAACCTGTCTGTATGCAAAAGCCTGTCGACACAGGCCATTCGTTTAAGTAGAATAGTCTGAAACACAAATGCATGTGGTGTGTGGGGTGTTTTTTTTTTTTTTTTTTTTTTTTTTTTTTTTTTTTTTTTCCCTAGAGATTATAGTATCATTCCCCCACACTGTTGTCTCCAGCCTTTTCCATGATGGTTGAATCAAGGGACCATTTCATCTTTACTTACCCTAGGTTCACGCCTAAGCGTTTTCTGCAGCATTTTGCAGAAACGCAGTACAGTCCTTTGAAAAAATTTTTTTTTTTATGAGACAGGTTCACATCTGTGTTTTTTCACCCAGTGAGTTTTTTGAAAAGGGCCAGGGACTTTTTTGAACATAAAATGTTGCATTTTTTGGTTCTTTAGACTTCAATGGGAATGCTGCAGGAAAGCATGTATTGCATTTTTTTGCTGCCTTTTTTATGCATTTTTCATTTAAAATCTGCCTAGCAACAAGAAAACAAAATAAGGGAAAAAAAAACACAATGCAATGCAGAAACACCTCAAACGAACCTGCATAGGTGTGAACCTAGACTTGTAGGAATCTGTGGGTTATTGCCTTGAGCAGCAGGTGGTACAGCCGAAGGGAAAGCACAATATTGATGAACAATGTCGATTGAAGTGAAATAGTTGACGTCATTGTAGGAAAACAGGCAAAATAACTGCTGCAGGGATATAGAATAGCATCAAAATTCTCAATGTGTTCCAAAATTAAACCTAAGGGATGCAGTATATAATGAAACTGGGTCTCCGCCTTAATTGCCTTGATGGCCTCTGTGTGCGTGTGTGGGTTTTTTTTTTTTTTTGTTTATATAAACTAATAAAAATCCTTGAAATACAAAAATAACGTTGACTAGATTTCATAAGGCATTGGTACACCATATAATAGACCGTAAAGAAAAAAATGCAAAGACCGCTCATGTAGTATGTGCAATAAACTTTTTTTTTTTTTTTTTTTTTTTTTTTTTATCCCCCCCAGAGCTAGATTTAAATACCAGGAGCTTATGTGTACAGAATACCTGGTGCCTTGAACCTCACTCGCCAATGCATAGCATACCCTAAAGTGACCCTGTGCCTTGCCCATTTAGGGAAAATCAGTGGGTTCACTTTAGTGCTGACCCCTATTGCTGCTTTTATTTCTTTTCTTACCCAGTTGTCCACTTGCCCATGGAAATGAGGCAAAGAAGCCATGCTTGGACTCCCAAGTTGCAGCTTAGTCTGGCTGAAGATGCTCTTTCGACTGACAGGTGACAGCACTGGGTACCTGATCAGCCTAGTGTCAGCGCTGTTTTAAAGTGGAAACCTACCCATTGATTTAACAGTTTAGAAAGACCGTTCCATTAAAGGCATCAAATGGCTGATGTCAAAACTGTTCACATGTGCAGCACCATGGCAAGTGCAGATCGGACACTAAGGCTAGCCATACATTATACAATTTTCTTGAGATTTTTGGTTTAGATTTACCAAAAACCATATAGGTCAAAACTAATAACACTTTCAATTGTTTCCAATTAGGCAGGCTCTTGCACTACATAGTTGAAGGTAAATCTAAAGTAAATTGGACAGAAAATTGTGTAGTGTATGGCCAGCATAAGGCCTGGTTCACTTTAGTGCAGGCACAGCAGCCCATTAATTTGAATGGACTGCTGTGCCCACGTTTCATGCAAGAAAACTCCTCTGCCAGGAAGGCGCATAGTCTTTCTGACCACGAGGTTTCCCTGCTGTATCCGCAATCTCACTGTGGGCTAAAATGTATGGGGGTGCCATTCAGAATAAATGCCAGCCCGGTGTGTCTCAAGAGCAGCAGATTCAGCTGCGGGAACAGATGTGACTCCTGCACCTGCAGTCAGCCCACAGCCTGCGGGCTAGTGTGTGGCCTAGCCTAATTGGATGGCAGCCTCCTTGGCTGTAGAGGATAGGACCAGTCCTGCCCCCAAGTCTGATTTAGTTCCTGCTTTAGGCAATTTGTGTATAAAATTTTTGTTTTTTTAGCATTCTATTGCATGCTTTCCCATAACTATAAACAATGATAGGAGTATATAAGGACCAGGTGGAGAGATATATATATTTTTCACTATTGCATGCTTTCTCTGGGTATACCACTTGCACTTCTCTGGGTGCATGGAGTTGAATGGAAGAAAAGGCACAACCATATAGGCAGCTGCAGGTATCAACAAAAAAAAATGGTATTAAAGTTGAAAACCAAAATATACAATTGCAGTTTAGGAATCCTTAGATGTGATGGCTGCATTAGTTTTTCTTTTTGTGTGTGTGTTGTGTGTTATTTGGTGTAACTGCTTACAATGTGTTAGGTGTTAGGAGTCCATCTAAGTCTACTAGTTCATCGAACATCACCCTCTCCATAGACTGATAATGTTGTTGTCCAAAGTGTCTCTGTTGCTCCTCCAGTGGAATGGAGCCACCCTAAGACAGAAAATTCCAACACCACATTTACAGTGGTTCTTCAGTCAGATCTGCCAAAATTAAGTCGGCAGCTACGAAAACTGTAGCTGCTGACTTTTATTAAACAATCATGCACCTGTCCAAGGATCCAGCTTTGTGCTCAGCTGCTCTAGTTCTTCACCAGCCTTCGGGTCTTTGGATAGGTGCACAAAAAATACATGTAAATTTTTGCCACAAAACTTGGCTACATACATACAACAGTATTTCTACAGTCAGTTTAGTCTGTTTCTTGCATTGTATAAACTACAACATATAGTGAACGAAATAAGTATTTGATCTTTGCCATGGTGGAGAGTTTGAAATCTGATTGTTTGATTGCTCCTGTGGACAGGTGTCTTTTATACAGGTAACAAAATGAGATTAGCAGCACTCCCTTTAAGAGACTGCTTCTAATCTCAGTTTGTTACCTGTATGAAAGACACCTGGTAGCCAGAAAACCTGCTGAATGATAGGGGATCAAATACTTATTTCCCTCATGAACATGCAAATCAGTGCATAATTTGTTAGACATGCATTTTTTTTTTTTTTTTTTTTTAATTTTTTGTTGCTCATCTGTCTCTGTTTTACAATACACCTACCATTCGATTTTTAGACTGATTATTTCTTTGTGAGTGGGCAAACATTCAAAATCAGCAGGGGATCAAATACTTATTTCCTTCACTGTATACAAATGCACTGCCTTGATCAGAGTAAAGCTACATTCGAATTTACCAAGCCAGCGGGGGTTTTGGCAAACGTTTGCTACTTGTCACAAGGAGGAATGGTAAGTGGAAACACCTCACTAGATGGCTGACAGAGGTTGGTTTCTGTATTACCATTTCAGAGATTCCCTGTCCTTTTCCAGTTTTCACCAGGAAAAGATCTGAAGAAAAATCTACCTAACAGGGACATAGCAATGTGAATTTCCAAAGGGTACTAAAGAGACACTCTAAATAAGCCCCCTTTGGTAGGTGCATAGGGATTGAGTTACTAAAGACAAATGCATGGTTCACCTTGCAAAGAATATCCAATCCCATGCAGGGAAACAAAAAAAAAAAAAAGCATTTTTGCTTGCAGGGTTGTACGATTTGGATGAAGGAAGTTGGCAGAGCCTCACCTCAGTCGCTAAACTCTGGGGAAAATTCCCTTGCAAACTACAACTTTCCTAGCAAAGTCTATTTGCCATTAATAACTAAACTTCATAATGTTGATTATAATCTCCAAGCTTGGTCAGTGAACAGAGCTTAGTCCAGTGAACTTTCGTAAAGAGTTTTCTTCAACTGAGGTGGGTGCAAGAATGTGTAAATTGTGTGCTTAATCTTGGTGTATCTCTGTAGATCAGTGAGTGAGTTTATTAAATACACAGTAGCCAGCAGACTGTGATTCCTCAGTAAGTCATAGCCAGCTCGCCAATCTAAGATCATGGCACCTGAGACCCACAACGGTGATATGAATCCGCTATGGGAAGAAGGCACTGGACTCCATGGACTGGTAAGTTACCCAATTTATTTATTTTTACACACACACTTAACTACTGACTTCAATTTTTTTTTTTTTTTTTTTGTGGGTTCAGTTTCTCTTTACGTAATTCTTGAATGATTTCAGGGCAGATTTTGGGAAGGTATATAGGCAGAGAAGGCAATTGTGGAAAACTGAGACCATACGAGCATGACCCTCCAATACTACAGGCCAAATATGTGAGAGAAGCGATGATGTGCTTGCACACAGTGACAGCACACTGCAGGGTGAGATAGTGTAAGAATGGCTGATAATGAACAACCTTGGTGTATAAATAGTACAAAGTATACATCAGAAGCCACAAAGACAAGCAAGCTGGTGATATAGAGTTGGATATAGCAGAAAAGAATTCCCAACAAAGACAGGTCTCTTTGAGTCATTTGTTTCTTTCTTTAGAATAATACTGAGATAGTGTCAAGACCACTGGTGCATTTATCAAACTTTGTGGGGCAACCTCAGGCCTTATAGATTACCTATATAGGGATAGTTCCTGTTTAGTTATTCATTTTAAGGCATTGATTTTTAAGGGCTCAGTAGATATTCAGTATATTGCCAGTTTTTTTTTTTTTTTTTTTTTTTTTTTTTTTTTTTCCCTGGCATAGAATAGAAGTAAACATTAAAAATCTTTTCTTTGAAC